GTCTTAGCCTCCCAAGCAGCTGGGAGTACAGGCATGCGCCACCACGCCCGGCTGAATTTTGTATTTTTAGGAGAGACGGGGTTTCGCCATGTTGGCCAGGCTGATCTGGAACTCCTGACCTCAGGTGATCCACCTGCCTTGGCCACCCAAAGTGCTGGGATCACAGGCGTGAGCTACCATGCCTGGTCACCTGCTGCTCTTGAGCCCTTGAAATGTGGCTGGTGGGACCAAGAAATGACTTTTTAATCTTATTTCATTCTAAAGTTTCTTCACTTTAAACTTTGTTAAAGGGAGAACTCTGGACATATTAAATTTCATGGCGTGTAATTGAGCAAAGAACAATTCATAAATCAGGTAGCTGCCAGAGCAACTCCATCTTGAATAGGGGCTCAGTAAAATAAGGCTGAGACCTACTGGGCTGCATTCCCAGGAGATTAAGGCATTCTTAGTCACATGATGAGATAGGAGGTCAGCACTAAAGACCTTGCTGATAAAACAGGTTGCAGTAAAGAAGCTGGCTAAAACCCACGAAAACCAAGACGGTGATGGGAGTGACCTCTGGTGGTCCTCACTGCTACACTGCCACCAGCGCCATGACAGCTTACAAAGATCATGGCAACATCAGGAAGTTACCATATATGGCAGTCTAAACAGGGAAGGCATGGACCAGGCGTGGTGGCTGACGTCTGTAATCCCAGCACTTTGGGAGGTTGAGGTGGGCGGATCATGAGGTCAGAAGATCAAGATGATCCTGGCTAACACAGTGAAACCCCATCTGTACTAAAAATACAAAAAATTAGCTGGGCATGGTGGCGGGCACCTGTAGTCCCAGCTACTCGGGAGGCTGAGGCAGGAGAATGGCATGAACCCGGGAGGCAGAGCTTGCAGTGAGCCGAGATGGTGCCACTGTACTCCAGCCTGGGCAACACAGCAAGACTCCTTTTCAAAAGAAAAGAAAAGCCCATGGCAAAAATCATACTCAATGGTGAAAAACTGAAAGCTTTTCCTTCAAGATCAGAAACAAGTCAAGGACACCCACTTTTACCACTGCTATTCAACATAGCACTGGAAGTGTCACCCAGAGCAATTAGGCAAGGTAAAAAATAAAAGTCTTCTGAATTTAAAAAGAAGTAAAATTACCATTGTTCACAGATGACATGATTCTTTTTGTAGAAATCACTAAAGATTCCACAAAATTGTTAGAACCAATGAAGAAACCCAGCAGTTGCAATATGCAAAATTAACATCTAAAAATCAAGATGACCAAAAAAAAAAAAAGTAACAAAAAAACTCAGGCTGAGCACGGTGGCTCACGCCTGTAATCCTAGCACTGTGGGAGGCAGAGGCAGGTAGATCACCTGAGGTCAGGTGTTCCAGACCAGCCTGGCCAACATGGTGAAACCCTGTCACTACTAAAAATATAAAAATTAGCCAGACATGGTGGTGCACGCCTGTAGTCCCAGCTACTTGGGAGACTGAGGTAGGTGAATCACTTGAACACAGGAGGCGGAGGTTGCAGTGACCTGAGATCGTGCCATTGTACTCTAGCCTGGGTGACAAGAGTGAAACTCTGTTTCAGAAAAAAAAAAAAAAAATTGACCACTCTGAGCAACAAAGTGAGACCCCCATCTCTACCCACCCCCCCAAAAAAAAATTAA